CAGGATCCAGTGCATGTATGGTAACTTTTTATTAAGGAATTTTTGAAAAATGGGATGGTGCGGGTTGGACTGGTAGTAAAGGAAAAATGGGAAAATCTTCTCCATATCCTCAAAGGTGGATTCAATGGCGAAAGGGCAGCCTTTGGAAATTAAGTGAGAGATGCTCAGTGATGTAAGATAGAAGAAAAATCAAAACGGCCTGGAACCGAGAAATGGGACCCCTTCCTTGCCCGTTGATTTCGCACTGATGCGACTCTCATCGGTGCTGCTCTCTTCAACGCTACCGCTCTCTGCTAAACGACGACTGGCTTCAGACGGCAGAGGGTGGATGCCCCCTCCACAGACTAGGTCGTTGTGGCCTATCCTCACTGCGAGCTGCTTGTCGGCTCTCATTCTTAAAAGGCCTATACTCGCTGAGAACCATTAGTAGGCCTATCCTCGTCCGTCCGCCCCTTTCACTAGTTGAGGTTCCCCTTCTTCGACCTTCGACCTTATCGTGGAATCCTCCCTTGAGCAGCTACTCGATTTCTTCAACCGATTTATTTGTGAAGAGATCCAGACAGGCAAGTAGCTCTGTCACCCAGCGGAAAAGCTTTCCGGATAACGGTGTAGTTGTCTACGATCCGATGAAGAGCTTGTTGAGCTCGAAAGTGACCACTTCCTTCATGTACCAGATTCCTGTGATTCGACTGTGTAGAAGGCTACTATGTTCTTTAAAATTCCTCGCGCACTTCAATTTCCAGTTGAAGCATTTGGTTTGAGTTTAGCAAGCTGTAGATAATTCAGTTTTGAATTCGAAAGAATGTTTTTTTGCTCCTTTCTCCCCCCCCCCCCCTCCTCCCCACCTGAACTGAAGACATGTGCGCAGAAAGCAAACTTTACCTCTGGAAATCCATCATAAAGTTGTGGCACTTTTTTGCTAAATTCAGCCATTTCAGCCAAATACAGATCAGCCCAAGTAAGCGAATCTCCAACAAGATATCCTAAGAAAATGTAAAATAACATTATCCTACGCTTGTTTTTTGTTTGTTAACTGCTGTTTTTGGCCGCAGTTCGCCTTGCGAATGTTTCACAAGAATGCTGGGTTGTGAACAAAACTTTCGCCCCAGGCGGGACTAGAACCCGCACCTCTCGCTTTCCGGGCAAGTGCGCTACCAGTTACGCTACCGGGGCACCATTTCATCCCAACTCAGCTTTCATGGTATACGTACCATAGCTTTAACTTGAATAAAAATTTTTGTTTCAACTGTTTCAATGTTTTTGTCATTCAATAACCAATGTTTTCACACCCGGGTTCTAGTCCCGCCTGGGGCGAAAGTTTTGTTCACAACCCAGCATTCTTGTGAAACATTCGCAAGGCGAACTGCGGCCAAAAACAGCAGTTAACAAACAAAACAAGTCAAAATTCATTGCTAAAGCTTTCAGCCTCGGTCATTGCCGATATCGGCTAACCGGCTCAACACGTTAGACGTGTGAGTGCTGAAAGCTATGGTACGTATACCATGAAAAGCTGAGTTGGAATGAAATGGTGCCCCGGTAGCGTAACTGGTAGCGCACTTGCCCGGAAAGCGAGAGGTGCGGGTTCTAGTCCCGCCTGGGGCGAAAGTTTTGTTCACAACCCAGTATTCTTGTGAAACATTGTCCTACGCTCCTTTCTAGCATGACCTGGAGTGCCGTGACATGTTACAGGGATGAGCGAAGGCGTTGCTGGTACCCTTCTTTACTTGCTGGGGCATGCATTTTCATTTAGATGGAAGCGTTGCATTGCCTAATTTGCGCTATAACTATAACACTAACCATAATTGGAACCAGTAGAACGCCAGGGCTAGGGGCCCGACTTGCGCGCCGTACCATCCGTTGTACTTATTGCTTGTGTTTGGTTATAATGTCACCGTGTAGACGTTTCGAGGAGCGGGAAGTGTCGGAGAAAGGGGGGGGGGACCGACAAGGACACCAGAATGACCCACTCAAGAACGGCCTCTCAGGTTGATGATCTATTTAGGGATCCGGAACTTCGATTGTCGCCTAGGAAACCCTTCCTCCAACGGTTCCACGACATATTAGAAGCTCCAATAAGTTCGCAACTTAACAATGGATCAAGGCCCCTGAAAACTTGGAAGCAACAGCAGCATCTGCTCGAAAAGAGATCGCTCACCGGATTTGTTGCTATCAAGAAATTTTTTCATGAATGTGAAGAATTTCTCGCGATTTGGGAGGAACACATCTTTCGTCATGGCATCCTAAAGAGAGCATTTTTCGATGCACGACGCATTTATGTACCAGACAAATCTCAGCCCTTCTGGCACGTATAAGAGAACCATTAAATGTGTAGTAGGTAAAGAGACCCAATCGGTATACCGCGCGCAGTAATAAGTGAGCTTAGGGAGGGAGACGGGGCTTCCTGGCCCACATCTTGAGGTTACAGTATTTATTATGGAAAACAACTATTTAACTTACAAGGTCGCCCTTTTCGAATCCCAGATAAACTCTGAGAAATGGCCGAATGTCCGTGCTAAAATCTCTGTATTGATCGACGATTGAATCTACTACGGCCTCCTCCCAAGCATTCTTACCAGCGTACCCTTAATATATCGATTTTGCTAAAGGACCCTCTAATATGCTTTCACTTTTTTCTTACTCTGCAAGTTTTTGCGCACTATCGCAAGATGGAACATCCCCTATGACTAGGCTTTGAAGTGGGAAGGAATCCCAGGGAAAAAGAGAATTTCCTGGAGTTTCCCCGCTTTCTACTTCCCCCTTCTGAGACTTAGTTCCGAAATCTACCCTCTCCTTCTAGGGCTTTGTTCTGAAACTGAGCAGAAAAAAGGCGCATTCCCTTGGAGAGCGGGGACATTGCAAAACAGAGGGTATTTAAAACCGCTAGTAGCGATACTAAGACTAAGCCCAAGAAAGGGGAGGATCTCAGGAAGAACACAAGTTACACACACATTCCCCAGATTCCCTTCTCCTCTCTAGAGCTTTGCTCCATACCGTGAGGATCTCACTCTCTCGACGCGATCCTCCCCCCCCACCCCTCGGCCCAGCCAACGACACGAACGATTCGGCTGTGGTAGACAGAGTTACCGCCGCTCCTTCTTCCCGTATTCGACAACACCTGAAGCTTTATGCATGTGGGACACTGCTGCTGCAGCCAGGCACTTGGGAATCTGGTATGAATATTTCCTCTTTTTGATAACGGGGATAGGCTTATAGCGTGGGAGCGCGATCCAGAATGCGTGTAAGTTCATTCTCCCCAAAAGTTCTTGCACCCCTCCAGCTTAGTCCTAGAAGATGTCCCTATATCTCGCCATAGCGCCAAAGTCTGCTTTTATTCAAGTACTTCAAAATTTGAAAATTTTCAGTGTGCACAGCGTCGTACCGAACTGTTTGGCCAGATACCGTGCTATGGCATTCGACTGGCCCCAATTTCTTCCCATTGACATCTAGTACAGGCATGTGCCCGAACGGCATCCCTAAATTTTTTCTGCACTGTCTTGAGATAATTCTAGAAGCTTAGCGATTCACGGTTCACACACCAGCTTTGTGCTTCGCCCATTCCTCTCCACCTAGACGTATATCTTCATAATCTTTCTCTGCGACAACGAATAACTAAATGGCCCTCTAGAAGTAGTTTGAAACTCGGTAATCCTCCCCCATTATCTTGGAAAGGTGCGAAAAGGTGTAATTGCCGTGAACCATTACTCACCTGCCGAATGATCTCTGCGGAACCCCGTCCATTGAAATATGTCAGCTTGTACTGTGTCATCCCTAGAAAACACAGCATTCTCTCTAACTAATATAGTTCAGCAGTAGGTCAGGAAATTCGAATCGCAGCGTCGCTTCGAGATAGGTCACGGCTGCGACGATGGTTTGAAGAAATTGAGCAGACTGTTTTATTGGTAGCCTCAGGAGAGCGCCGAGAGGTAATGGTGCTGGCTAGCGGACCTCACCTTTTCCTCAGTCTTGTTTTCTTCACTAGCCAAGATAGGGCAAATAGGTTTCTAGATGGATAACTTACCCAGGATGGGGTATCAACAGCATCTCATAGCTGTTCTCCGTTGTTTGGTCTCGCTTTCGAGACGACAACGCTTACGGAGTGTTCATAGTTGGCGACCATACGTGCGATTAGGCGATTAGGCGATTAGGCGATTAGGCGATCGCTCAATGGGCGGAGCAACAAATCAATACGTATCCTTCCCTTATCGCCTACTCGCCTACTCGCCTAATCGCCCAATCGCATGTACGATCGCCAAGTATGAACACTCCATAGGACTTTGGACCAAATGCAAGTATGAAAAGCAAATTAGTAGTGTATTGTTAAACCGCTGGAGGAATGGATAAAGTAGGAGTACAGGCGGCACAGCTGGCAGAAACAGTGGAGGAATCTTCCTTT